AGACATGTGATTATCAGGCTGTGCAGGTCTTAGTGTTTGTGTAAACACTGTGTGAATTCTAGCTGAAGGGTGGGGAGTGTCTACTGTATGTGTCTGTGTTTGAGGGGGAGTGTTCAGGGGCCCCTTCCCTCCTTAAAGAAGTTGCGTGACAGGACTGAACGGACGGGTTGGGAGAGGCCATATCCTGGGATTTTCCTGTAGTGGCCGTCCAGATAAGGGAAGCGCTCTTGTCGGCTATTGCTTACAACAAACCCCCAGGGAGAGATGCAAGAGGACAGAGTGTGTTTGTGTGTTATGTCTGTGTATGTGTTATGCGTGTGCAGATATGCAGGCTGCCAGATTAGTTCTCCAGCAATGAGAAAACCTGTCTTCTGGCGGGGGACCAACAGTTGAAGCTCGACTCGAGCCAGATAACTTGTTTTGTTTTCTGCTGCTGCTGCACACTCATGATCTTACATTCATATCATGTATTGATCCACAGAAGAGTTTTGGTCTGCAGAACGGCCACATGGGTGTAACAGTGAATTGCAGAAGGAACAGTACACCATATAGTACGCCATTTAACATGGCTTTACCCATGCATACTGTAATTCAGGATAAATCTTAAAGGTATACTATGCTGGAATTGTTGGTTACTGTGAACAGTGTCGCCATCAAATTCAAATTTAAAGCCAACCCCAGATTCAGTCTGGCTTTGGAACGAGCTTTGTCTGCTTGGCGTTTCGCCTCACTATATTTGCATTTTTTTCCCTGTGCTTTCTGATACTTAACCCAATTGCCAGAATACATGTTGGCATTGTATATTTCTACAAACCACTGTTGCATTACATTTGTATGTTTTTATGTAGCAAATACGTTTCTTTATGTTTCAACAATGTTGTGATGAACAAGTGGTTGGGTTTAGGCGCAAAAACACTGGATTATGGTTAGGAAAAGATCATGCTTTGGCTTAGGATACCCAGTTTTTTGTGAGTACGATCCCAGCAGGAAGCGCAGCAATGTTTTGATAAAGCATAATTGCTCCTCATGGCACTGTCCCGACCGGAAATGCAGCAATGTCTCTTTAAAAACAACTGCTCTTCATGGCACTATCCCCGCTAGAAATGCAGCCATGTCTCAGTGAAAAACATCCACTTTTGGTGGCACTGTCGTGGCAGGAAATGCATCGATGTTTTGATAAAATGTGACTGCTCTTCATGGCACTGTCCTGACTGGAAATGCAACGATATTGCTGTAAAACCAACTATTTTTTGTGGCACTATCCCCGCTAGAAATGCAGCCATGTCTTAATAAAAAAAACAACCATTTTGGTGGCACTATCCTGGCATGAAACGCAGCGATGTTTTGATAAAATACGACTGCTCCTCATGGCACTATCCTGACTGGAAATGCAGCGATGTCACTGTAAAATCAACTACTTTTTGTGGCACTATCCCCGCTAGAAATGCAGCCATGTCTCAGTCAAAAACAACTTTTGGTGGCACTGTCCTGGCATGAAATGCAGTGATGCCTTAATAAAAAAAACAACTGTTCTTCATGTCACTACCCTGACTGGAAATGTATCTTTTAAAACAATCACTTTTTGTCGCACTATCCCGGCTGGAAACACAGTGATGTCTTGATTAATAAACATCCACTTTTGGTGGAGTTATCCCGGCTGTAAATGCAGCAACAGGTCGCTAAAAAACACCCATATTTGGTGGCAAAAAAGATGCTGGAAACACAGTGATGACTGGCTAAGACACAACTGGCTTTGTTGTTTGTTGGTTTTGAACAGTGGCCTGCAGCTTGCGAACGTCTTGCTGAGGTGTCACGCCATCCACCATCCCCTCCGCCTCCTGGATGACAATCAGCTCATATACTATATCACTTCAGAAAGTTGATACAATACCCAGTTGACCTAAGAATGTAACATACCTGTGGTTTGCAGAGATGTACAGTGCCAAAATTTTCCTCTGGTGACTGGGCTGTCATTTTTGAAGCTTTCCTCTAAGATGTGTGCAACTTACGATCTGGTTCCTGGTGACTACCTTTGTATAAAGGCACAAACTTCAGTTCAGAGTCTCTGCAGACAAATACACCCCACACACTTCTAGTGGTCACAGGTGATGATTGAGAGGGATTTCTTTTGTATGAGGTTATACATTGGTTTTTAGGAGAAAAAATCCAGATAGTATCCTTTAATTCTTTTAAGCTTGCGATGGCCAGTTTCATAATGTTACTGAGTGACACAAACTCAAGTGCTGCCACAATGATTTAAAAAATCTCTTTTGACTTGCTGTATCTCGCCGCAGCTAACTTACACGCTCATTTGCATACTTTTGCATTGTGCCCAGACTTAAAGCTTGCAGCGTAAACATGTTCAACCATGAACGTGCAGAATCATTCAGATGTTAATGTCTCTCAGAACAATAGCATGACTCTTCTGAATGTGGGAAGCAATCTAAACATGACACGACATGGCGGGGCTGCCCAGAGAACAATGATCAACAGTGAGACGCCTTTCAGCAGGGACTGTGTGACTTTACCCAGATGCCAAGGTAAAGCCAACACAAACAGTGGAGCCGAGTGGTTGTTGTACTTAGTGCAGGCTGTCATTCAATGTGGACGTTCTAAGCACTGCCTGAGCAGTATTAACAATGTGATGCAACTTCTGCTTACACTGGAGGTTTGATTTTGTGTCTGCAACAAACACACTCAGGCACCTCGCACATCTCTCTTATATAAAAACACAACAGAGACGTTGCCAAGTTTTCGTAATCCTCTACCTGGAAATAGTTGTCTAAACTGGCTTTGTTCTCTAGCTGACATGTTTTCGACACCCAGCGGCTCTAATGAATGTCAGCGGTGTCCTGTTACTTCACGTTCTTTCAGTCACAGGACCTCTGAAATGGTGCAGATGAAGGTGGGGATCCCTCGACAAGTTGGAGTACAGTCTCAAATGTGATCGGTGGACAGGTCTCTTGAAGTAGCCTCATTATATTAACAGAGGAGTGTGTATTTATAGCCTGAGAGAACAAACCCATTGTGTCTTTCTCAACCTTAAACATGCCGAGGCAACGAAACAAGTTCTCAGCCATCAAATAAACTTTTTACTTCTAAATGAATAATCAATCAAGCCACATACTGTGCATCTGGAATGTGTAAGAGAGACTACAAACAGTATGTCTTTAGGCAAGATGCAAGATTTGATGTGGCTGCCATGTGATATTTTGCCAAGTAAACTATATAAAAGACCCATTATCTGTTCCCCTGCACTGTGCTGCATATACAGTGACAATTATGAACTCAGAGACCCCGACTACTGCCGTTTATTACAACCAACGAACTCGCTGGCATGCTTGGTTTGTGCTTTTATACCTGTCAAATAGAACGTCCATAACTTTTCCGCAGTAGTTTACGACTTAAATAATTCCAAAACACATAATTTATTTCAGTGAAACGACAATAAAGCCACATTTCAGACATTGTTTTTCTTACATAGCGCTGTCTGTATGTGGTTAGGGCTCTCTGCTTTATTAAAGTCAGTGATGATTGATAAGAAGGAGCTCCAAAAAAAAAAAGATGAAAAGCATTTTTCCATTTATTTTATTGAAATTTGGGAGAGTCCCTTCAAACCAGCAGTTTTCAATATCTTTGTAGAAATTAACTGTAGTGACCTTCAACGTTGCAACAGCAATAAAGACCATTTATCAAGATAATTTGATTAAGATACAGGCTGTTAGACTAACATGAAGGTTTGAGAACTGTCCTTTTTCAACCTTTCTCTGAGAAAAAACTTTGATAAGAGAAAATGGGAGAATAACTATGGCACTGGTTCCCAACCTGAGGGTCCACTGCCACCACAAGGGGCTGCCAAAGCTTCATGTAAGGTCATGAGGCCTTCATGATGTTAGGTTTGTAAAGGCCTCAACTTACCAAATCAACTTCAGAGAACTAGTGGCAACAAAGGCCCCCTGCTGCATCTCACAACCAAAAAAGTTGCCCATGAACACACCGTTAAGACTACAGCCGATGATCAACCGTGAGATGAGGAAATAACTTCACAGCAGCAGATGGCGGGAGTCTGTCATCCTCATTCAAAAAAGGAAGACTGTCTTGACGCTATTTAGCCAGTTAGCACATTAACAACTCCAATATTGAAAGAACATATTTACTGTGTGCCAGTGAACAATAACACAAACCACCAGGAAACGTTTCTGCCAAAGGGCTCAGTGGCTGTAGAAAAATAATCTTACCTTATGTAACACGTTTGTTTCGGTCTCACTTCCTCTGGACTTCAACTGTTTGTTTACTTTCCTCACTTCGTTTCTCTTCTCGTGTGCTGAGCTGAACTGCTAATCGGAGTGATTTCATTCACAGACAGGCTCCTCTGTGGCAGACACCAATTCACCATGTTGAATCGGGAAGAAAAAAAAGACGACTGGGGCTGACAAGGGCCAACAGTGCAGAACACACTGCACAGACGAGGGTGACATGGCCTACCGTCAGCTTGATGTGTCAGGGCTTTAAGCAAACATTTTTAAAAATAAACAGTAGGCCTATATCTTAGCTTTTTATTTATTTCTATGAATAAAAATAAATGAAATTATCATTTTTAGATTATTATTCAAGATATAAACGTAAGAAAAATCTACCTGGACAGGGGTACAGTGAAGACCTGATCACAAGCTGTAGTCACAGAGTCCTCATGTTCTGCGCAACAGCTTTGTCTTCCATTAGAAAAGTACGCATTTAACGTAACCATAATCAAATGATGGCCAAGTGTCAGGGGGCAGAAAACACTGAATTTGTCAAAAAGAAAAAAAAATTAAAAGACTGGTGCCTCTCACCCATGGCCTTTTATTGGTTTAAATCCTGATCACGTCACTGTCTGTCACACAAAGCCAGTTCAATTGAGGGATACAATACATAACCTTGCTGAAAATGCTTAAAACCTTTAGCGATGTTAATATAACCTCTGCTGACCCCTCGTCTTTGTTCTGTCACCTTTTTTGCAGGGGCCATGAAGACCAATAACAGCAGTCTGATGTTACCTGGAGTGAACGGGCAGAATGGGCAGAACGGGAACAACATGGACGTCACAGGCTTCTCTGAGGGCGACCTGCTGCTCCAGGTAAGACACAAGTCAAGCACCCATGCAGATGCTGCTTGTAAATGTGTCACATTTGCTCTAAGTGCTTGTTGTATGTTAATCATTCATCGTAATGCTTGTTACATTTGGCTTGTATAATGTCTCCTCACCGGCAAAGGCGTTGTCAGAGGTGTTATGTTTGCGTGTTGTCTGACATACATCTTGTTTTTGTGGACATGATATATTAACAACGCCTTGAGGAAGTTCTCTAAAATTTGGCACAAACGTCCACTTGGACTCAGCGATGAAGTGATTAGATTTTGATAGTCAAAGGTCAAAAATCAAGGTCACTGTGACCTGTTTTTGGCTCTAAGTCAAGAATTCATATATTGCTTATTACAAAATTTGACAGGAAGGGGATAAAATGGGATGTAATAGAATAAAATGATAATTGATGACATTGTATATCCAAAAGGTCAAAGGTCAACCCACTGTAACGTCATTATGTTCCGCAAAAACACTTTTCTGGCCATTGTTTAACATCATATCTCAGGAACAGAAGGAGAGACATTTGGTCAGATACTGAATTGGTGACACTAATCTTGGGTCCCCACCTTGAAAGAAAAAAAAACTTTGAAAGAAAAACAGACACATCCACATATGACGCACTGTCTACCGTCATGGTTACATGAGAGTCTGGACAGACATGGATGTAAACTGAAATCTTATAAATGCCCCATCCCTGAAAGAAATACCTTTTCTCGACACTAATCAATCCAAACTGTGGCCATGAGGAGCAGGACTATGAAGCCAGGTCAGATGATGTGCATTTCCTCAGTCAGATAAACTTCCAGTTAGGGGTGGGCGATACGGCCCTAAAATAATATCACAATATTTCAGGGTGTTTTTGTGATAACAATATTCTTGACGATATGACAAATTAGTAGACTACTGAAGCTGCTCCTCTTTTTGGAGCCACCAAGGAGTCTGTAATAATTTTGCTTTAAGCCATGCTTGTTGTTGCCGTGGGTTACAGTATGACATCAGTGTCAACAAGCTGAAATATCGCGAGTATCACAATATGAATTTTTCATATTATTGTGAATGAGATGATATGGCACTCCCCTACTGCCCAAACAGCTGTCACTCTGAAAGCAACACCAGACAGATCACACAAAGATCACAACAAGCAAAGAGCACAAACTCACACACAATAGATTAAAGGCTAGGCACCCTAAAAATAGTACAAATGCACCTTTAAACAGTTTGATTGACTGTTACTGCTGTGTGTAGAAGAAACAGTCCCACGCCCTGATTGATTACTTAACAGCCTGAGGCTAGCAGGTGTTTAAATGCCCAGTCAGACTTTGTTTGTTTGTTTGTACTCTAGTCAGGTTGTGTAGAGTTAATCCAGGTCTATCCATGCAGGAGGAAGTTTTGACAGGTGAGGCTGCTCCTCTTGCTGACTCTTGCCAAAGCCTGGCCACGCTCTGTGGCTCTTCACAAAACCTGCGCTTTGTCATGTACTCTGCACCTTGTTTATTGACGCTCACCTGTCATGAGCATTTTCACACTTAGTTCCGTATAATGATCTCAACGGGCGGTCATTGTGTAACACAAAGGGCCTTTGTGAATCAGCAGCTGTTGGTGTTCAAAAACAACATTACAGAAGAGTTTTAGTTTTATTGTTTTTATTTATTTATATACATTTATTTTTATTTTAATGCAGATTTTAAATTTTAATTCTTTTTTTTTCTTCTTTTTTTTTCAACAGAATGGGATTTATTTCTGTGCTTATTTTGACCTTTTAGAAATCGGTGAAAGTTGATTTATAAAGTGATACTTCCAAACAGATCTGTAGTTTCATTTCTTTCCCTGGAGTCCTACAGTTACGCCCACCCAACACTAGAGGACTTTGAAAAAGCTTAAGTCTGATTAATTAGATTAACTTTTTGACTGGTGGATGAAAAAATCCACCAGCAAAGCATATTTTCCACCACTCAAAATAATGGTCATAAGCAGAAGCAGCGGACCGGCAGCAAGTGTTACTTGCTTTATTTCGAACATGTATATTTTCACTGGCCAAATTGTATGCACATGGGTTTGACTTTGGTATTTAATTATTTAAAAGTGCTGCAGTAGCACAGTGACATGTGTGCATGCACTTTAAAGAAACCTCTGAATGCTGACTGACTGTTTGTTCCCTGTGCAGGCGCTGAACGGGTTTGTGATCGTGGTCACGTCAGAGGGCTTGGTGTTTTATGTCTCTGCCACAATCAAGGACTACCTGGGCTTTCATCAGGTAAGATGTTGGCTTTTATAATAATATGTAACATTACATACAATATTTTTTTTGTAGAATCAAATACTCATTTGTAGACTTGAAAGTTGACTGTTAAAGGTTCCCTCTTTTGAACTCTTGGCAGTAACAATCAAGAGAGGGGTGGTGGTAGAGAGAGATGTCCAACACTTGGGTACAAATATCTCACACAGATGTTTAAGAAGTATTTCACCGCTGGAAAGATGCCCCTTTAATAAAACTAGGTTGTCTATGCAGTAGAAAGACGCAAATACTTTTGAAATTGGTGCCACATGACCAGAGAAAACAGAGAAAAAGGATGCACTGTGCCACACAGGACCAATAAACGCTCGCGCCAGTGGGTGACATATTGTGGTCGGTTGGCAAGAAATGATCTCCATTTCTTACAGTTAAACATGGTCCAAGTCTGAGAGAGAGAGGGGCAGGTCTGTCTTTATCTGCTTCTATACTGCAGGCAATACGAAAATGCCAAAGTACAGCCTTTAGTTCAAGCAACAGGCCAAGACTCTGCGAAACTCTGCCTGTAGATATAAATTACATCACTCATTTTGTCACCAATGCGTCACAAGTTTCCAAGTGTCAAAAGAAACTTCTTATACCCCTCCTGCTGCAGTATAAACCACTTTTGAGCTGTCGTTTCATATGACAAGTATGCTTTAAACCAGGGGTGTTCAACGTTTTTCAAGCCAAGGAACCCTTAGGTCAAAAAGAGACAAAGCAGAAACCATATATTGAAATGTACTAACAAGAGAAAGGGTCAGCTTAGCAGTAAAAGCACCATTTGCAATTAAAGATGAGATAGAATATATAGGATGACATCAATAAATAATGTACAATGAAATACAAATATAGATAAATAACCCCTTTGTTTCTGTTGATTCCCACTGAAAGTTTCCACCTTGAGTATTCCTTGAAATTTGCAACCCTACTCCGGATTCCGAATCAGTGTATATCTCGTGTTTAAAGGACTTGAATTGCTGATGAAGTGCTGTGTCTCTTCCTCTGCCGACAGTCTGACGTGGTTCACCAGAGTGTGTTTGAGCTCATCCATACTGATGACCGGGCTCTGTTCAGACAGCAGCTTCACTTTGCTCTCAACCCCCCATCTGCCGGTGACGGAGAAAACGGTAAGAACGGTGACTGTATTTCAGGTTTTAGCATGAGCTCAGTCTTTCCACACCTGAACACGACAAGAAACTGACGTAAATCAGTGATTCAGGTAACTGGCTTTGACGCGTAATGTTTCACGTCAACCTGTGTTCTCAGCCTCGCAGAATTGTAGCAGCACAATGATTTACAGTCCTGAGCAGCTTCCCCCAGAGAACTCCGCCTTCCTGGAGAGGAGCTTTGTGTGTCGCTTCCGCTGCCTCCTGGACAATTCCTCTGGCTTCCTGGTGAGTACAGTATTTAAAGTTGCGTCGTCGAAATCAGGTGTAATGTAGTCTCGCTCACCAGACTTTTCTCAAGAAAAGAAAGGTCTGGCTGCGCTGACTCTCACTTTAAGATTGGAGAAAAAAAACGTCCCAGCTTTTTTTATTTCTTTCAAGCAATCACAATCGTTCTGGGCGGTGCCACAGCAACGGTGCGCTTGCAAAAATATTGCCGGGGGGAAACAGGTTTTGGTGTAACACGCCCACAAAAATATCGCCTACAGGACGCGAACCATGGCAGAAAAATGGCTACATCCTCGCAAGATCAAACACAGCAAAAGTTAGTAAAGGACGTGTTGAAAACTGCTACACAACCGGAGGTGGTAGGGCGGGACTTCAGAGGGTGGCTCGTTCCGCCCGATGAGAGGCTGATCTATGCAGCGAACTTCCGCCCACTCAGACTAGGTGTAATGTGGCGTGATTACTTTTGCTTGAATCTCATGCAGTTGTGATGCGGTGTGAGTTTCACCACTGTGTGAAAAACTGTGCGGGCAAATAGTCCAGCAGCTTAGGAACAAGGTTTCTCAGCATGTAGTTGAAAGAAAATTATGAATTTCACCAACTACAATCTATAAAACCATCAAAAGATTCAGACAATCTAGAGAAATCTGTGCACATAAGGAGGAAGGCTGAAAACCAACATTGAATGCCTGTGACCTTCGACCCCCCTCATACAGCACTGTATTAAAAACCACCATGATTGACGGATATTACGACATGGGCTCAGGAACTCTTTGGAAACCCGTTTTCAGTAAACACAGTTTATCACTGCATCTACAAATGCAAGTTTAGACTCTATCGTGCAAAGTGAAAGTCATACATCATCAACAACTGGGCCCAAGCTCATCTAAATGCACTGACTGACAAAGTGGAGAAGTGTGCTGTGGTTCCAAGCTAAACCCCCAGAGTTTCTCATCCTCCCCTTTTTTCCCACCCTGTCCAGGCTCTGAAGTTCCAGGGCCGACTGAAGTACCTCCATGGCCAGAGGCTTATGAGGGACAACGGGAACGCTAGCAAACCTCAGCTGGCACTTTTCTCCATCGCTATGCCCGTCCAGTCTCCAACCATCGTGGAGATCAGAGCCAAAATGCTCCTCTTTCAAACTAAGCACAAGCTGGACTTCACACCCACAGGTGTAGATAGCAGGTGCTGCGACTTCTTCCATTATTTCTTTTAAATGTATTATTTTGCCAACTGTGCAGCAAAAAAAAAATCCCACATGCTGCATCTCAACTGTGTCTTCAACTGAGGTTTCTTCCAGCTTCAACAAACTCTGTGTTTTTTCTTCTGCCTTTCTCCAGGGGGAAGATTGTTCTGGGCTATTCAGAGACTGAACTGTGCATGAGAGGCTCCGGCTACCAATTCATCCACGCTGCTGACATGATGTATTGTGCCGACAACCACATCCGCAGTATGTTGGCAAATTCTACTGCACATGAACATTAAATGTGGATATTATTTGATGGAGATGCAACAATATTGTTTGATGTAGGAGGTAATCAGATAGGCAGCTTAAAAATTCTTTCCTACTAGAAAGGTCATACAAAGAAAAATACTTGTTTTAGAGGCCCAATGTGCGAGATTTAGGGGATTTAGTGGCATCTAGTGGTGAGGATTGCAGATTGCAATCAGCTGAAACTTCTCCTGGTTAGAATTACATCTGTATTCATTGTTCAGGAGGTTTTTTTTTTACTGGGTCTCCTCCTCTCCAACAGACCAACCAAATAATTAAAACCGATAAAAACACTGAATTAAGCAGTTTCATGTTACATATCAGTGTTTCTCCAATGCTGTTTGGTTTGTCAGAGACAGGTTGCTAGCCCAGCACCTGCTAATGTGTGCTCACCTTTTTCTCTGATACTTGAAGATCCAGATGTTAAAGAGGTTTTTACCGTGAGCTGAATAATATGCATAGATCTCTTCCTCTTCAAAAGACGTGGACCTTGTGATTTAAACCATTTACAACACTGAATTATGCAGTTTCACTTTAAGAAATTGGTGTTTTTCTCGTTGCGGACAGGCCTGACGGGAAAACACAAATGGGTGTATCTAGAGTCAGTGTTTGGTTTGTCCGTTCTGGGCTCCTGTAGACATAAATGTCTCATTCTAAGGTAATGAAAACACGACAATTCTTATTTTCAGGCGATTATACACCAAAGAAAACAAACATTATATTATATTCAATTTCCCCTTCCCCCTATATCCTTCACACTGGACCTTCAAGAAAATATTGTTAAACTATTAGCCTTTATAGTAGCTTGTTTGTCGTGTTGTTTTACATGATTAAGCACATTTAAAATTTTGTGTTAATTGTATAAAAATACTGTAATTAGTGTAACCTTTTTATGTATCGTAACTAAACAGCGATTATACTTGGATCCAGAGTAAATTATCACATCAAGTACTGCCCATATTGACATGAAATTTAGTTGTGGGTATTTGTGACCCCCTTAGGTTGAATTCTAAAGTTTTGAGTAACTTCTTGAGATATAATTTCAGTTTGTAGTCAAGAAACATCTGATGGAAAAGTTGTGAAACCTGAAATGTATGCTTCCAAAATGATCTTAATGACCCAGTGGTCTTTTTTCTAATCCTGCCCTCAAGGGAAACATTATATTTTAAATTCATCTGCTAGCGAAGCTCTAAGAACAGCACATCACAGTGTACTGTATGGTGAATAAACCATAACAGTAGTTACACCAAACATTTACTGCCACTTTACTGGAAACCTCTCATTGTGTGTTGTTTTTGTCTTTATTTCACAGTGATTAAAACAGGAGAGAGCGGTCTGACTGTTTTCAGGCTCCTGAGCAAGTCGAACGGCTGGGTGTGGGTGAAGGCCAACGCCAAGCTGATCTACAAAGGAGGAAGACCTGAATTCATCATCGCGTATCAGAGAGCTTTGGTGTAAGTGTTTGACCCTTTAAAGCTGGTGCAGGCAGAAATCAGGAAAAGCAGCAATACAGGATTTAACCTGTGTAAAGGCAGCAACAGAAAGTTTGCTGATCTAGCAGGGAGTTGGGCTCACTGATTCCCCAGAGATGGGGTTTTGAGTTGGCTGGATTGGAGTTGCTGCTGCTGCTGACTGTAGGTTTGTCTCGGAAACTGCTGCCCACACTTCTACCAGCGAGGTGGTCTTTAGCAGCGAGGAGTGAGGCGGAGGACACACTGTGATTCGAAGCTCTAGATAAGTCTACCTTTTTTGGGTTGTTTGCAGCGTAGGCAGTTGCTGACAATGCTGAAATAGCAGCTTTCTCTGCAGGATTCTTCACCATTGAATTAAACTTTCACTGAGGGCGTGCACGCACATCTGCATTTGTAGTACAGCCAATAGGAATGCCCTCTCTCTGAAATGACCTGTGATTGATCAAAGTCTCCTGTCACAAGCTACATTTTCTACGGCCTAAAAATGGAGCCAAGAGAAGTTGCTGTTGTCTAGTTTACTGTCAGTCCACTTGAATTACAATATGCTTAAAGTTATTCTGGATTTTTGCCCAGTGAAGCTAAAATTAAACTGCCTACCCCACCTTTAATAACTGTCAGTGACATTCCATGATTATGAAAGATGGCATGTTGTCTGCCAGGACAGGAGATGCGCGGGTAAAAGAGACACCTATTTGACCAGGTTTCTTACTCAGCTCAATAAGACTCTGATCTTGGTGTCAGTAATGTAATGAGCTATTTGTTCTTTTTCAGCAATGCCGAGGGTGAGGAATATCTGCGTCAGAGGAGGCTGCAGCTTCCCTTCTCCTTCACCACAGGAGAGGGCGTCCTGTACAACACCGGCCCCACTGTGGACATCACTCAGTTTCAGTTCAATAAAATGTTTAACAACACAGTTGACATTAAAAAGGATGTGACCCCTGGCTCTCTGCTGGACTGCTTCCTGAGTCAGGACGAAAGAGTCTACACGCAGCCAGTAGACCCCCCTCTACCTGTGGATCAAGTGTTTTTGGACAGTGGGGCCCTGATTAGCGTTACCAGTGACGTATGGCACGACAGTGGAACTACAACCACGTCAAGTGACCCTGTTGCATTGAAAGAGGAGGCCAAGCAGTCAGTGATGGCTGTGATTGACAACCTGGAAAAAATGGCACAGGACGGTGACTTCTCTGCAGCTCTGCAGAATCTGGAGGTCAGTGATGCAGAGCTGATGGAGTGGGAAAACACGCTCAAGGGATTAAGTCAGGACGAGGGCCAGCAGAACGGCGTCAGGTCTGAGCTGGACAGCATCCTCACTAATGACATATTTGACTTCATTGATAGTGTTTTGTTCAAGGAGAAGGGAGATCACTGTCTCAACACCGGCACTCCCGCCTGCCTCACAGCAGTCAACTACAATCAGCAGGTCCCCTTCACTCAGGCTGTCCAGCTCTCAGCCGCTGGACTTAGTGAGCCTCAGTTGTTTCAGGCCCCGAGCCCTGATTGTTCTTACTCTCCAGTGAATGGTCTCTATGCTCACCAGCAGAATGCAATGAATGGTCCAGTGACTGCAGGGCAAAGCTTGGCAGAGTCTGCTCAGATGTTCAGCAGCACCCAGAAACTCTCCCACCACGGTCCCCTGATGCCTCAGGCTGACACCAACCTGCCCCCTCTTCAGCAGCTGCAGCTCCAGGATATTTACAGCCCCTCTATAGAGCTCCCAGAGCTCACTGTCTCTGACGCTTCCGCTGCCTCAGCCCCTTTTCAATCCTGTGCACAGGCACCTATCAACCACATGGGCTTCCCGACTGCACAGACGCAGTCCAGTCAGCTTCTGCGGGGTCCTCAAAACAATTTGCAGGCTCCTGCAATAACAAACGGACAGCTGCTGCAGAGCTCTGTTCAACAACCAAACAATGTAGCACTTGGCGTCATGGACATTTTGCCGCCCCTGATTCCATGCAATGACTTTGTTTCCTCTAGCACACCTAATATTCCCATTCCCTTTCCCACAACGTGTCTGCAAGGAAGCTCCGCTTTTGAAACGCACAACCACCAGGTTCAGCAGTGGCCGCAGGGCCAGCAGCAGAAGCTGCCTCATGCTGGCGTCATGCAGAATGGACATGAGCCGATGCCAGCATGCCACAGCCAAACTCTACAAAGCCAAACATTCCCACGTGCTGGCCTTTGGCCAAGGAACGTCACCGGACTGAGCCACACTCAGCAGGGAGGGCTGACGTGTGGCCAGGCAGCTACTCACAGCAGCTGCATGTTTGACCAGCACTTTTCTAACAGTCCAGCAGGAGGCGACGTCCTGGCTCTGTCTGGGTCTTCAGGCCTGAGGGGGGCTGACACGTCTCTGGATCAGAGTCCCCCTCAAGGTTCCTGCTACTTCCAGTGGAGCCACAGCGAGCCTGTGGTGGGCACATCGGCCATCAACCAGGAGAATGCCAACATCAGTCCTCTGACCGCTCCGCCCAACATGTCGTCTTCAGAGCACACACTCAACATTCAGCACTACCTGGAATGCCCCAGACAGATGCAGGTAAACAAGATCATTCAAATTAAAGGAGAAAATAAATGATGATAGTCAGTATTTTTAGACTCTTAATAAATGTAGGGCCTCAACTAATGATTATTTTTATGATCAATTCTGAAGATTACTATTTAAATGAACCAATTAATCATTATGTCTAAACAGTGTTGGAATATACTAACAAATGACGAATACAGTTTAAAGTGACAAGTTCAAGACCAAAAGACAAATTCTCTGCCATGCAAAGGTGTGGGGCCTTGGGTTCTTCCTTCAGGACATTTTGAGCATCAAACACTTAATTTCCTGCATTGTGGTGAATATTTCTGCACCAATTTCTGCCTTTTTGCATCATTTTATGGAGGAAATATCTAATTATGAAAAGGAAAACATGAAATTCAGACACCAGGTGAAAATTAAAGTAATACAAATATAATGGAATAATGCAGTAAGGCTCTAAAGCATTCTGTATTGACCTCAGGTATTGATGTTATCCCTGTAGGCTTGATTTACTCTGTTGTTTCAAACTGTCAGACAGACACATCGCCCCATCTTGGACTCTGTGTGCTGCTCTTCAACAGAGGTGGAAACTTGAAACTGACGGAAAACACTTGTACTGACCAGGCATAAATGTCACGATTGTGTTACTTATTGTCTAAACAATTGTAAACTTCACCACCTCAGTTAAAACAGAGCTGGCAGCTGCTTCCCTGAGCTTTTGAATAGGAAGCATCCTGAAGTAGTGAGACAGTCCCAAACAGAGCAAAGGTCTCGTGATGCAATGTTGTGACTTACTGAAATCTCAGATTATTATTTTTTTCTGACACTCCATCGTAGTTGACAGAGACAAACGTCCACTTGGACTGAAAAATAAACAGATTAGAATTTGGTGGTCAAAGGTCAAGTTCAGTTTGACCTCGCAAAACATGTTTTTTGCATAAGTCAAGAATTCATATGCTGATTATGACAACACTTCACTTAAATGTCTAATTGAATAAAATGATGACGTGAAGACGTTTTACATCCAGAAAAACAAAGGTCAGCTTCACTGTGACATCATAACGTTCTGCGTGAAACACTTTTCTGGCCATTACTCAACATATCTCAGGAACAGAAGGAGAGACATTTGGTCACACACTGGATCAATGACTCAAATCTTGGGTGCCCACTTTGAAATTGTGCTGCTTGCGTAGGTCTTCTGTGCTGGCGGGTGGAAAATGTGTGTGAAGCATCCATGCACTGCTCAAAAAAAATTGGGGAACACTTCAATCACACATCAGATCCTGATGAATGAATTATTCAAGTGGAAAATCTCTATTGACAGAGAACAAAATGACTTGACAATGGTCAGTGGAAACCAAAATCATCAACCCACTGAGGGCTGGATTCAAGATCACACTGAAAGTCAAAGTAAAAAATTGAAATCACAGCCTGATCCAACTTGATTTTTATCGTGGCAGCTCATAATGTGCGTCAGTCACATTATGGAGGTCATTTCTGGCAGTGCTCCTCCTGTTCCTCCTCACACAAAGGAGCAGATACCGGTCCTGCTGCTGGGTTGATGCCCTTCTACGGCCCTGTCAGCCTCTCCTCGTGTAGACTTAGACAACGTCTTGCGACAGTACATTTCACACCAAGGCACCGAGCTGAGGCTGGCTCTTACGACATCCTGTAAACCGCTGTCGTTTCTACAGCAACGGGTACGTCACAATGTAACGTAAAGCTGAGCACAACAAACCCCAGAGAGCACATGGATGCATCAGCAGAGCACTCAATGATTCTTGAATGTGACCGTCTCTGGTTAGATACCCTAACGTTACCTTTTCTTTGCGTTGTTTTGTTGGAGTAGCTCTTTAAACTGGTGTTCTCTATCGTTCTAGGCTTCCCCTCCACCCAGAGATATATTGTATATATCTCTATTGGAGACCTGAACCCTTGGGTCAGGTGACGTGGAAGCTAGAACGATAGAGAATGGGAGGGTACATGTGTAACCCTGGTTCTCTGAGTGAAGAGGCTTCCCCTCCACCTCAAGGCCGCTCTAGGATTTGTTCCATCAGATCTAGATCACAGGGGGGCGTGGTGGATTGTCTTAAAGAAATGATCCATGTCACCTGACCCAAGGGTTCAGGTCTCCAATAGAGATATATACAATATATCTATGGGTGGAGGGGAAGTCTCTTCACTCAGAGAACCAGGGTTACACATGTAACCTCACGTTATACAAACAGGGTAGTGCATCCAAAAGATTTATGAGCTCGTCTTTTCTCTCCTCTGTCCAGAAGTCTGCCATGTTCACTACTGTGTGTGTGCAACAGCGGCAGCGTGCAACCATGTGTACGGCCCACGTGGGTACCCAGCTGTACAAAAAAAAAAATCTCGAGCTTGCCGCTGATTTGTTACAAGGTCGAGACAGTTGAATCCCTTGCAACTGCATGAGCAGACCTGAGCAGACCTGAGCCAATATACAACCGAGTCATTCAGACCACTGCAACTTTTCTCTGCAGTGTCCTAAAACAGTTTTGTTGCGTCTGGAATCTTTGGAATCTGTTTTTGTGGGTTGTCTTGCTTTTGCCTCTCCATCGCACCTGTTGTCACTTTGATTTGCACCAAAGCAGCTGTTTGACTGTCTTGGTGTTACACTGTGATGACTAAGTGTTCCCTTATTTTTTTTCAGTCATTGTTATTTGTATGCAAAAAATGAAAAAAACAAAAACCCTTAACCACAGTTTCCTTAAACCACATGTCCTGTCTGCTCTCTCCCGCAGGATGAAAGAGTCCTGACTGAACGCAGTGGGATCTTCGCTGCTCCTGCTTGTGATGTGGCCATGTACCTGGCGGAGTAGAGCCGAGCCATGTTGTCATTTCCGACAAACCCAGGACAAGGACAAAACTCAGTATATTTTGCCTGTATCAGTGCTTATCCACGGACTCTCATGCTTACCCTCATTGTCGTATGTTTTATATATCACCCTGTGTCATTTATACTTTGTCCAGTCTGCAATGTTTAAAAGTCTGTTGCTTGTCAGTTGTTAGTGAAGATACACTACAGTAATAATGAAGTATAAAGCCACAAGTGCGCTTAACCAGGATGGAGCTTGAGCCAGCTAGGAGGATTGGTCAAGTAAATCCAAATAGCCAAAGAAATAGGTTTTTTATAAGGGAAACCAGGTGTCGTCACTTCCTTGTTTTCATCCAGGGACATTGAAAATCTCCCAAGTATAAATACCTGAAAATACTAAAAAAAAACCACCTGAACATGCTGTTGTTTTGTAAATATATATAATTATATATATATATATATAATCAATCTAAACTTTGATGCTGAGAAAGTAGACACTTTATCTAAAAGACATCGTCGTCATCTTTGTAAAGAATCACTGAAAGTGATAGCTACCTGAGCGCACAGCCGTACCTTCAAATTAAAATTGTTACAGATAAAAAGCATCTGTATATTTTAAATGAAACCCTTGGATGTGGTTGATGTAAGTGTATAAATACAGTCTGTAATCGTACTCGTGTCTGCTTTGGCTCACAACAATGCCGTATGTACAGAATGCCTCAGCATGTGACACGTGTTTATCTGTATGCAGTATAAATGTGCTTTTATGGAGAATGTGTTTGAGTTAGAGACGCGGAGATATCTCAGATCCCAAATTGTGAGTACAACAGAAAGAAAATCAGAAACTTTCTGAGTCACATTAACTCTGTTTGATGCAAACATTTTGCATTGTTTCCATTTCAGTGACGTTTTTAAAGCTGAAATTAAGCATAGCTGCAGTTGAGTTGATGTGAACGCACTGCTGCTAACTAAGAGCTGTGAGTCCTTGCGTCCTACTCATGTCCGTAAAGCAACTAAAAGTAACTGTGCTTAAAGAAATCAGTCCATCAAAAAACACGACTCACACTCATCTCAACAAAACGCTCAGTGACTGAAGAAAGGTCTACAAAAAAGTCGACAAAGACTTCTGAGAAAGAAATTATTCTTTCTCAAAAGTGCCCGACCACAATGACGACAGCGGCGTCCCGTCTCATGGGCCGACTTCTTTGAATGAATGTGGGTCAACATTCAGCCTTCTAAATAAGACAGTCATCCTAACAGCTGCCAAAACTAATGGTGCCTTCAGGCGCTCTGTATCAGCCTCCACATATGTATCGCTGCAGAGTCGCCCCCAGTGGTGAATGAACTCAGACGAGTCCCATGATATCTGAATTCACAGCACAAGTGACAATAAGCGATGTTTACTTGACTGGTAAACGATGTAGCAGGATAGAGATGATATAAAAGTATAACTGAGGAAGTTTCAGTCTGATTTAAAGGAATATTTCACCCGCAAAATGATCATGTGTGTATTTGACTTTGTGAAGCAACCTTTGTTTTTCTTGCATGCTGCCACGTTGAACGAAGAATCCAAAAAGGCGAACACCCTTCATGAATTTAAACTCTCACACAACTCATGCAGTGTAATCAAAGTCTTATGTATCCAGTCTTTCCACGAGTAAAAAAACAATCATAAAATACACATTAAAAGCCGTTTTGAAAACATGAGTTTTGATGGGTGATTTGAATCAGGAGAGGTCAGTGCAGAGGACAACTAACCGACCAATGTTACACTTTAAATTTAATCTTAAACACCCTTGCCGACAAGTAGCACCTCCTGAGTGCACCTGAGCATGCACTCATTTATTTGTCACATGGAATTATACAAGGAACAGCTCCAGTGACGTGATCCCATCAGCTCCTGTAACACTGCACTGTAATTTGGTCCATTTTTATGCCTGTTCTTACATTGTTGGCGGCCGCTTTATAATTGTCCATGCTTCCGGATACTTCTGGTAATCCATGGTTTGTGGTTATGGAATGATGTAACGGTCCACACAAGACAGCCGCATGGTCACTCCTCCCGAACACAGGCTCTGCTTGATCACTGTCCAAACACACACGCAGACACACGTGTGCCTTGGCACGCTACTCAGCCGTGCCTGAGACTGTTTGTACTCATTCGTTCATTCATTTTCTGTAACCGCATGTCCTGTTCGTGGACACTTACTTACTGGAGCCTATCCCAGCTGACATTAGGCGAGAGGCAGGGTTCACCCTGGACAGGTCACCAGACTATCACAGAGCTGACACATAGAGACAGACAACCATTCACACTCACATTCACACCTACGGACAATTTAGAGTCATCAATTAACCTGCATGTCTTTGGACTGTGGGAGGAAGCTGGAGTACCTGGAGGAAACCCACGCTGGGTTCAAACCAGGGACCTTCTTGCTGTGATGCTAACCACTGCATTGCCCACTAGTACGGAGCATATCACTGGATAAATGAGACTGATTATGCTGCATGAGTTGTGAGAGCTCGTAAGCAGATGTTCAGATACAGTTTTCAGAGTTCCTGCAGACTTTTTAAAGTCAAATTTAAGATGTTTTAAGACCTCAACAAAGAAAAATTAATACCATTTTACACCAACAAACGGCATTAATACATGGCAGTAAACATCACGTTCACATCTCATCGGTGCTCCAGTGCCTGATGCTTCAACGCCCATCGTCCCAAGTTTTTCCTCAGTGTCGTTACTTGTGACCGTGTTACAAGTAATAAAGTCATAAAATCATATAATTATTCATGTAAGTAGATACAGTAATGGGTAGATCTGATTAGGTATTCAGACATGTCTCCGTTAGTCTAAATGTAAGACTTCTCACAAGTAAAAATAAGACTTTTTAAGACATTTTATGGCCTTAAATTTTCAAAATCAAATTTAAGACTTTTTAAGGATCTGCGGGAACCCTGGTTTTGCTGTTTGTTTTTTAAACACGATCCTAATTTACTTCAATTCCTGATGAAGGTTAGTCTTTTTTGGATTCTTCGTTCAGAGGCATGCGAGCAAAACAAAGTTTTCTCCACAAATTGAACACGTGGTGCGTCATTGTTAAACAAATGATCACTTTGTGTGTGACGTATTCCTTTAATCCACTATTAAACAAATGATAATGGGTGCATTCAAGCCTTTAAAATGAGCCAGGCCATTCCTCAAAGGATGCAGTCCCTAAATACGGACGCAGCAGATGAATAAAAACAGCCTCCAGATCTCCAACTCTGCAGCAGCCCTTGTCCAAACACCCTTCTGTTATATTCTCCCACATCATGTGATCCTCCATAAGAACATCCCAAAATATATATATTGCCTTAACCCAAACATTAAATTATATCATAGCACACAGCATGATCATATACATTACTCTTGTGCCTTCATGCCGAATCGGCAGCTTTAAAGTATCCTCATATGGAGCGTTTCGAATTTGACAACATAAATTTTCTAAATGGGTCCCTTTGTGTTTCCTGCTGGATGTTTTGCAGTGTGTGTGAACGACATCCGCAGACAGGAAGCAAACATGGACTCAAGCTGTTGCCTAGCAATGCAATTCCAGTGAAACTGTCTATAAATATATCTGTGCCTTCTTGTATGAAGCATCGTAACATATTTGCCTTAGTAGCTCTTGTTTTTCTAAAGTCATCCTGAGGAGCCACACTAATTTAAATTATCCTTAAGTGCATTTCAGTCCTCTGGGGAATTTCCTAAAGTCCATTAGCCTTTACACAAACGTCCTTAACAGTGGAAACAAGGGAAAAAACTGAACTTGACCTATCTCTGTAGAGATGGTATGCTTTCTTTCATTGAGTATTTAGTATCAAGAATGTGGAGATTTGAACTAACAATGCATTCAGATCATATTTACTTTGCTTTGTTTCCTGTTTGTCATTTTGGCTCCTTTGTTTTTTTTACCCGCTCTCTGTCAGATCTTCATATCCACACTACAGATAATACAGCAGTACTGGTTTGGATTAACCTGAGCAAAAACAGCATTAACATGGCAGCTTTACCGTATTCCTGCTGCACTGTGGGGAATCACTCAATATTTTACATGTCCTTAACTATATATTTTTGAATATTCATTTTAATACAATGCTTATAAATGGAAAAAACATTACCACCTTAAGTGAATTCTTAAAAATATGAAACTCGTAGAACAGAGGTTAATGCGTCCTGGTTGCTCGCACCAGACTTCGGAGGCTCTGAGGACGGCCTTTAAATCGTCTTTGATATGGAACTTAACACGGATATGTCACGACTGTTGCCACTAAAAAAAACCTGGAGCCAAATGTTTTATTCACAGCGGTGTTGATGTTTTTATCCTAATGTGCCTTTTCATATTGCTGTTATTTGTAAAAAACATTTTAAAAAAATTAAAAGAAAGAAAAAAATCCCATAATAATTTCCATGTAATCTACCTTATATTTAGCCAAGTAGTTTTAGTATCTATATCGTAATATATGTTAAATAAATAACCAACCTTTGTCTACTGTTAAATGCTTTTTCATAAATATATGTGTGCAATGACTAAAACTGTGTGTGGCTCTTTTATTTGGGAAATCAAATATTGAACCATGAAGGGAACTTTGGTGACGCTGCAGCAGAGCTGGTAGCTGTTATAAGCAGGAATTGTCACGGCGACACAGACCTGCTGTCTATTTCTGTAAGCTGAAACCATTTCCCTCAGTGGAAACGAAGCTTTATTTACTTTAATTTCACAGATAAGAAACAATAAATTGTGAAGACAATAAAGCCTCCACAAAAATAGCATTTTAAGTCTTGTGTGTGATTTATCCTGGCTTCATATGAGCAGAGGAAAAGTTTGCTAGCTGCTAGGCTAATTTATACAATGTAAAATGCCATAGGCTTGTGCTAATAACGTTAGCATGTTATATTTGTTTGGAAAACGTGTTTAGTATAACACAGTTGTTTTGTCAGTGAACCTTGTGAGTTGTAATGGAGCCGAATTGTGTACTGTTACCTTTGTTAAATGTTGCTGTTGTCCCTGGCTTCATATGAGTAGAGGAAAAGTCCTCTACCTTCTAGGCTAATTTATACAATGTTAAATGCCATAGGTTTGTGCTAATAACATTAGCATGTTGTATTTGTGGGGAAAATGTGTCCAGATAAAGACAAGTGTTTGTGAATGCTGCGAGTTATAGTGAAGCTGATTTGTGTACTTGTGTTTGACATTGTCTCTATTAAGCCATGTTTAATGTGTGTTTAATGTGTGTTTTGGAGGTGTAACTGCAGAGTGACACAGACACACCACCGTATAAATGCTCACATCAGGGTAGGGTCTGCCCCACCACTAAAAATCCCGCTTCAGAGGTGCCAGGTTTCAGGAGCAGGTTAAACACTGCTGCTTTAGAGGCTTTTCCAACCTGACCAGAATACTGTTCTTTTCTTTCACTCTACTCTGGTGTGGTAAAGTCAGGATTACACAGGAGTGGAAATGTATAGTAAAATGCACATGTAATGACAATAGGTAGTTGATTGATTGCATGTGGAACAGCTGAGAAATATTGTTGAAATTGCATTTATTCTTCTAGAGACATCACATGCTGTTTGTCATCTGTTTTGTGAATGGATTTGTGTTTTTAAAACTCTTTCAAACAAAAAAAGGGAAAAATTTTGAGGAAGATTATTGAGGAAGAACATTATGCAGTGGTTTTACTGGTCTGGCCCACCAGCGCTTAAATCGGACTGTATGAGGTAAAATGAGTTTGATACTCCGGCTTTAAAGGGATAGTTCAGATCTTTTAAAGTGGCATTTTATGGACGCAAATAAGAGACATAACTATATTATTTTAACAGCCACTGAATACTTGTTATTGAAATTTAAACACCACTGAATTTCGAGCACAAGTATTTTACTGTGAAAACCTTGTGTCTGAATTTATTTGTTCTGAATTCATCTTTTTGAAATCAAAAAATTTCTTGACTTGCAATTTCAAAAGCTGGACTTTATTTTTTCAATTCAGATCCATAAATTTTGGATGTGATATAACTAACTGAATTTGAACAACCTGATTTTTTTTTTGTTTTTGAGTTAATATATTTCAGTTTTTATAATTCAGTGGTGTTAAATTTCAACATATTTAATGACTGTTACAGTTACAATAATCATGTCAATTATTTGCTTCCATAGGTTGCACTGGGTTCTTATCCACAGTCGGTGTGTTACTTACAGAGGGTGGTTTTCAGTGCACCCCCAGTTTGGAGAAGCAGGCAGGAGTACTGACACTGAAGCTATGCAATGTACTGCTATGGACAGGGGCAGCAGCAAGACGTGTTTTAGCCACCTAAAGAAATCAATAGCAGTTTAAGTGTATGATATATTAAAAATATTTCCATTACTTAACCTTGCGGCAGACCACTCTTTATGACGGGGAAGACATTTAAGGGATAGTTCAGATCTTTTGAAAGGGCATTGTATGAGGTTTTATCCATGGTCAGTGTATTACATGCAGTAGATGTCAGTCTGCACACCCCCAGTTTGGAGAAGCGGGCAGGAGTACCACGGAAGCTAAGCAATGTTCTGCTGTGGACAGGGGCAGCACTGAAACGTATTTTAGTCACCTAAAAAAAGTTCCACCTAAAAAAATGGATACCAGTTTAAGTGTACGCTATATGTAGAATATTTTCACTGCGTTACCTCTGC